TCCTTTAGATTTTCAAATTTTGAGGAGAACAGGTTTTCAAAGTATGACCTGATGATTCTCTGGATTTCCTCAGTTTCTGCTGTCAGGTCCCCCTTTACATTTCTGATTTTGTTAATTAGCATGCTCTCTCTCTGCCTTTTGGTTAGTTTGGATAGAGGTTTGTCTAGCTTGTTGATCTTTTCAAAGAACCAACTCTTTGTTTCATCAATTCTTTGTAATGTTTTCCTAGTTTCTACTTTATTGATTTCAGCCCTCAGTTTGATTATTTCCTGGCATCTACTCCTCCATAGTGAGTTTGCTTCTTTTTGCTCTAAAGCTTTCAGTTCTGTCAGTTCTCTAGTGTGACTTTTCTCCAATTTCTTCATGTGGGCACTTAGTGCTATGACCTTTCCTCTTAGCACTGCTTTCAGAGTGTCCCATAAGTTTGGTATGTTGTGTCTACATTCTCATTAAATTCTAGGAAGTCTTTAATCTCTTTTTTTTTATTTCTTCCTCAACCCAGGAATGGTGCAATTGGGTGTTATTCAATTTCCACGAGTTTGTAGGTTTTCTGCGATTTGTATTGCTGTTGAATTCTAGCTTTAAAGCATGGTGATCTGATGAGATACAGGGGGTTATGTTACGATAAATCTTTCTGCCAAAAGCCGCCTGAACCCCACCACGTGTGAGCTTTACGCCAGCTGCCCGCCCGAGTTAGGCCCAAATGAATACACAGAAACTTGTATTAGGTTCAAATGCTGCTTGGCCAATGACTAGGATTCCCATCTGTTAGCTCAGTCTCAATTATCATACATCTATATATTTTATAAGACTTATCTTATCAGACACCTTATTGGCGTCCCTCCTAGCTGGTGGATCACATCCTGCTGTTGGAGGAGGCGAAGGGGAAAGAGCGGCCCTTCCTGTTTCATCTTTGCTTAAATATGAGTCTCCTTGCTATGTCACTTCCTGCCTGGATCATCACTTCTCTACTACATTTCCCAGAATCCTCTTTGACTCCTAGTCCCATCTACTTGCTGTCTCATTGGCCAAACAGTATTTTATTTAACAATCAATAAGATAAACATACATAGTACATTCCCCATCAGGGTTATTTCAATTCTTTTGTATCTGTGGAGGTTTGCTTTGTTGCCAACTATGTGGTCAATTTTAGAGAAGGTGCCATGTGGTGCTGGGAAGAAGATATATTCTTTTGTTTATTCTTTTGTGTTAGGACGGAATGTTCTATAGATATCTGTTAAACCCAGTTGGGCCTTAACTTCTGTTAGATCCTTTGTTTCTTTGTTAAGTTTCTGTCTGGTGCTCCTGTCTAGTGGTAAAAGAGGGTTGTTGAAATCTCCCACTATAAGTGTGTGTGGTTTTATGTGTGGTTTGAGCTTTAGTAATGTTTCTTTTACAAATGTGGGTGCCTTTGTATTTGGGGTATAGATGTTTAGGATTAAGACTTCATCTCGATGGACTTTTCCTGTGATGAGTATGAAATGCCCTTCTTCATCTCTTTTGATTGATTTTAGTTTAAAGTCTAATTTGTTAGATATTAGGATTGGTACACCAGCTTGTTTCTTGGGTCCATTTGATTGGAAAATCTTTTCCCAACCCTTTACTCTGAGGTGACACCTGTCTCTGAAGTTGAGGTGTGTTTCTTGTATTTAGCAGAAGGTTGGATTCTGTCTTCCTATCCATTCTGTTAACCTGTATCTTTTTATAGGCAGGTTAAGACCATTGACATTGAGGGATATTAATGTCCATTGATTGTTGGTTCTTGTTTGTTTTGGATTTGTTGTTGTTGGTGTCACTGTGTGTGGATTTTGCCCTCCTGTTTCTTTTGCTGTTTGGCAAAGTTGGATTATCTATTACCTATGATTTTGTGAGTATAGTTATCTTTGTTGGGTTGGAGTTTTCTCTCTAGGACTTTCTGTAGTGCTGGATTTGTGGATATGTATTGTTTAAATCTGTTTTTTTTTTTTTCATGGAATATCTTGTTTTCTCCATCTATAGTGATTGAAAGCTTTCCTGGATACAGTAGTCTGGGTTGGCATCCATGTTCCCTTAGTGTTTGTAGGACATCTGTCCAGGACCTTCTGGCTTTCAAAGTTTCCATTGAGAAGTCAGGTATGATTCTGATAGGTCTGCCTTTATATGTTACTTGACCTTTTTCCTTTGCTGCTCTTAATATTTTCTCTTTATTCTGTACATTTTGGTGTTTTGATTATTTTTCTTGAGTATCACAAAGGTTTATTTAGCAAAAAGTTTCTTATGAAAATGTACATGACCCAGTTATATACCCTAGTCAAACAGTTCTTTGGGGAAGGATGTGAATTCCTCAGCTGAGCAGCCATTGTTTAGACTCTTTCCAAGGCTTCTAACATGATGATGCTGTTTCCTCAAATGACCACCATGCTGATGTTATTCTGTTGTCCACTAGTTGCCATCTCCACACACTCGTCAATCACAAGATTCATAAAGGGATCAAAGCCCCGTAGTATTCCTTGTATGTGTCTGCCACCATTTAACTTCAATGATAATTTCTTGTCCATAAATTTCTTCAGTTCAGGAGGGTGGGTCTTGCTCATGGCGACTCTTCGGTGGGCTCGGCAGGATGGAAAGGAGCAGGCGGCCTCATGAATGCATGCACAGCAGTACAGGTCTGGTGTTTTGATTATTATGTGGCAAGGGGAGTTCTTTTTGTGGTCCAGTCTATTTGGTGTTCTGTAAGCTTCTTGTACTTTCATAGGCATATCCTTCTGTAGGTCGGGGAAGTTTTCTTCTCTGATTCTGTTGAATATGTTTTCTGTACCTTTGACCTATATTTTTTCAGTTTCTTCTATACCTATTATTCTTAAATTCGGCCTTTTCACGGTGTCCCATATTTCTTGGCTATTTTGTGTTAGGAATTTGTTGGACTTGGGAATTTTCTTGGTTGATTGCTGCATATCCTCTAGAGAGTCTTCAACACCTGAGATTCTCTCTTCCATCTCCTGTATTCTATTGGTTATACTCACATCCTTAGATCCTGATTGTTTATCCAGCCTTTGTATTTCCAGCATCCCCTCATTCTGTGTTTTCTTTATTGTTTCTATTTCAGCTTTCATGCCTTGAACTGTTTCCAGGGCTTCCTTCACTTGTTTGGTTGTTTTTTCCTTTAGACTCTTTAAGAGAATTACTTATTTCTTGAATTTTTGTTTGTTTTTTCTTCTATTTCTTTCTTTAAGGGTCTCAAACATCTTCATGAAGTAGATTTTTAGGTCTGTCTCTTCTTCTTCCTCTGTGTTGTGCTTTCTCAGATCTTGCTGGTGGGGTCTCTCTATCTCCTCTTGTCACCCAGTGGTGTGTGTAGGCCAAGACTTCAATGTCTGCAGATATGGATGTTCTTGCCTCTCCTGGTAGTCTCCTCACTCAGGAGAGGTTAGGGTGGCAGAGGGGGAAGGGAGAGTGAGGTATTTCCAGACTCAGGAGGTCCTTCCTGTCTGGGTGGATCCACTCTATGCAGGCAGGACCATTTTCTGCAGCTGCAGGCCCAGAGAGATCCTGGGGTGATGGGGACCTTGGGGAGGAGTAGGGCTCAGGAAAGGTCTGGGAGGCAGAGGGGGAAGGAAGAGTCAACATATTTCTCTGTGTGTGTGTGTGTGTGTGTGTGTGTGTGTGTGTGTGTGTGTGTATGAGAGAGAGACAGAGACACAGAGAGAAAGACATACAAGAAGGAAGGAAGTTGATTCTTTCCTGTCACCTTGTGGGATCCAGGGATTGAACTCAGGTCACCAAGCTTGGCAACAAGTACCTTTACCTATTCAGCCAACTTGCCAATCCCATAATTCTTATATCACTTCTGGAACCCTACAATATAGCTTCTTCATAAAAGCATGAAGACAGCTGAAAGGTTATCATCTAGCTAGCAGTTGTCCAAGCTAGTGTTCAAGCCCAGGCAGTCTGACTCCGAAGTCCATAAACATAAACTACCAGATTGTACTACCACTCAAAGCATGTTAGCTATGGTTGCTCTTTCCCTGGCCTTTTCTTCTGTTTATTAAGAAAGTACTTCTTAATCTGTTTATGGACCTGCTCAGAGTTCACTAGATGTTAATATTTATCAGACTTGTACTTCTAAGGAATATCGCTACCTCCATATACTTTGCAAAGTATAATTTTGAATTGCCCTAGGAATGACCTCTCTTTGCATTTTGTAGGACCTGTTGCTTCCTGTCCCTCTCTGATTTGACACTCTTCTGTGTTTGAGTAGCATTCAGCATTTGCTTTAGTAGCACAAGGAGTTAATTCTGCCCATTCCTGGGAAGAAAATCCTGGTTGTGTGTTTATATGCCATGGCTGCTGCCACTAGGGGGTGTTCTTGTTATACCATTTTATATCCACACTCAACACAGATAATAGTTGCATATTTAAGTGGCAACTCACACACTTTGGTTCCTTTTCTACACCACAGCTTGTATAACATGTATTATTTCTAACAGATATGTAAAAGATCACTACCAGTACCTAATTTGATGAAGTATTAAAATCAAAATTAATAGGATGTTTTTGACAGTCAATAATTTGTAATCATGTAAAAATTAAAAATATGTAGATGTAATCACAGTATATGTATAATAAAAATGATAGCAATGACTTTGCTATGTTTCTGAAAGCAACAGAACTATATTTTATAAGGGAAACTTACTGAAAAATTAACTGAGGATTTTCAGCAATAACATTTTACCACCAAGGTCTGGAGGGCAACCAGGAGCAGTGGCAATATACTATAATGTTTGGGGATCTTATTATTATTATTATTATTATTATTATTATTATTATTATTTGGTTTTTCGAGACAGGGTTTCTCTGTGGCTTTGGAGGCTGTTCTCGAACTAGCTCTTGTAGACCAGGCTGGTCTCGAACTCACAGAGATCCGTCCACCTCTGCCTCCCAAGTGCTGGGATTAAAGGCATGTGCCACCACCGCCCGGCATGTTTGGGGATCTTGAAGCATAGAATATGGAGCTGTCAAGCTGATACTGACCTAGAAACTTTACCTCTACTGGCTAGCTTTTTTGGTGTTGGAAGATACTATGCATCCTACTGAAGGATAAAAGTAAGCATCGGTCATACTGAGCTGTGAACCCTGCAACATACAATAATAACCGGCCTGTCAAGACATGCCCACTGGTGCAATAGTGACACAAACATCTTGGGAGTAACCAATCTCCTTTTCATTGGATTAAGGCCTGTTCTAGAAGATGAAACCTACACATGGCACCATTATTGGGCTGAAGACCTATGGTTCCATAGGGCATAGGCCCTAGGGGACAACCTACTATTATTCTGCTAAATGGATGAAATATTAAGCTATCTCCTAATGACTTATCATTATACCCACAGATTAAGACTTATCTTACCTCTCATTAGAGAAGCTTCTGTTTGCAATAAATGGTGATCAACATAGAGATCCATATCTGGCCAAGTTGCAAAGAATAAAAGACTGAAGAATGCTCAACCATAAATGGAGCATGTATACTGTGTCGTGTCTCCAAATGCTCAGGCATCACTGCAGAAAAGGAACTGAAATAGCATAAAAGCCAGAAGGAAACAGTGTATTTTGGGCACATCAGAGCAGCTGCACATGTGAATACACAGCAGTTGTGAGAGCATGTATAAGACCTGTTAAACACAAACTAAAACAAATTTCAGCATGGAGAAGGGCATCCTAGCTGAGGGAGGAAAGGTGACTATGATCGAAACAGATGTGGAATTCTCAATGAACTAATAAATTGAGAGAAAAATCTGTTCTTTTCAACTATAACAATAGGTGATAGATGAATAGATGGATACATGAATGATGTATAGATAGATAGATAGATAGATAGATAGATAGATAGATAGACAGACAGTCAGACAGATAGTGTTCATGAGCCATATCTACCTGCTACCTGTTTCTACATGGCCTGTGAACTAGGAATTCTTTGTATATATACTTTTTCTTACAACATATTTTGATCATATCATTCTCCTCCCCCTTACCAACCCAAATTCATTGATTCACTTTCTCTCTCCCAAACAAAAAATGATAATCAAAACAAAAACCTCAATAAGACAAAACAAAATAAAAAAAATCCCTCACATTAAAGAAACCCCATGAAGTTCATTTTGTATTGGTCAGCTACTTTGAGGCATGGGGCCTATCCTGGAATGTGGTTAATACCCAGTGACACTCCATTGGAGAAAATCTTCCCTTTGTCATCAGATGTTCTGGGTGTCAGTGGGGAGTCAGAAAGGAATAGAAGCAGCAGGTGGAAGAGGTAGTGGGGAAGACCCAGAGTGACCCTGGGTCCACACCAAGAGGCCAAATTCCAAAGGAGTGGAGATGAGTTTGGAGGAGGGACTCAGGCAGGCAGGCTGAAGTGGGACTAAAGATTACTTCAGGAAGGAAGCTAAAGGTTACGTACTTGAGTCTTGTCCCAGTGTGGGTCCCTTGTAAAGAGTGGTTCTCTCTTTTTATGTTTTTAAGGGATAGAATATAAAGTCTTGAATTTGAATTCATGATACTTTATGACACATAAAAAATACAAGGTATAGATTATAGTGTCTGTAGTTTGGATCTTAAATGCCTAACCAAAGCCCATGTTGTAAAATCTTGGCTGCTAGCCTATGCTTTTAGGGGGTGGTGGAACTTTTAGGAGGTGAAGACAGCTAAAAATAACTCATTGGTACAGGTGTAATTAATGAAGCTATTGGAACCTGGTCCCTTCCTCTTTTATTTGCTTCATTGTTATCAGTATGTTCTCTCGCTGCAGGTCCCCAAACAACAGGTCCCCAAACAATAGACTCTTATAACTCACATGCTGGAACCACTGAAACAGAGCCCAAATAACCCTCCTTTTTTAAGTTGATTATTTCAGGTATTTTGTGACAGCCATGGAAGTCTAGCATTTATAAATAAAATTTTATTGGAATAGACATACTTTGTTGGTGGATGGTTGCCTTCATCCTGTAGCGAGAAAGAGTAGTTGTGAGAAAGGTTATGTTGTCTGTAAAGCCTAACACAGTTAGTTGCTCTCTAGCCTTTGAGTAAGTTTTGACTCTTGAAACTAATAAGCAAGTAATGCCACACATAACTGTGCCTGGCTGCAGTCTGTCTCTTATCCTTTCAGAGCCCTCATTTGATTCAGGATGCAGATCTCCATCAGAGGCCAGCAAGATAAGGACATTTAGCTGACTCCCAGTACTGCCCTTTATCCTTATCTTAATATGCATTTCCTTTCAAAGCAAGATAGTTCTTCAAGTAGTTGATTTGTTTTCCAGAAACAAAAGTCATGAGTGTGGAAATGCATTTTAAACATCTGGGCAAATGGGAATGTTTGTTTGCCACAGACAGTTACTTTATGGTTGATTTTTTCCTCATATAATTTTGTGTGGAAATTACAGAACACAAAGAAGAATAAATATGAAAGTTTAAAAAAAAACCTTAAAATCTTGCCTCTTGGTGATTACTGCATTCTGACGTCAGTTTATTGCATGGCTTGAAAGAAGGAGCTGGTGCTTACTTATTTTTAGCTTGCCAAAGACAAATTGATATCAGTCTGCAATCAGTGAAGAGTGATCCTAAGTTGGGGTGCTTCTTTGTTTTCAGACAGTTTCTTGTATTGCCTAAACTGGGTTGAAACTCCTGATTTACCTGCTTGGTATACTACCAGATCTGG